CTACCTCTCATAAAAAATAGTGCGTGTCATGTATTTGTGAAAAGAAAAAAGGCAACAAATTGCAGCTGACCTTCTGCTGGCTAATCTGCTGCTGTTTCGTCCCATTCCCATGCATTTTTCTAAATGAGGTGCAAATCTATTGGCAGCCAAGTTTCTTTGACAATGGGGACACACACACTCCACCTGTTTCTTTAAGGGTGTCTGACCAAACACATCCAGGCCCTCACATTCTACAACTTCTGGAAAAATTAACAAGGCCAACAAAAATTACACCAACAAAGGGAATTACAGCATTCCAGTTAATTCTTTCAAGCAGGGGGTAATGTAGACCACCTGAGGGGTCACCCAGACCACATGCTATTTTTTTTTTGTTATACTCGCCTTAATAATATGATTTATATTTCATCTGTCGGGGCAGTAAGCCTTCATTGTCAGGTCACTGACCTGAGACCAATCTCTTATCTGGGACACTGGAAATAAGTAGCCTGCGAGAGCATCCGGTTCTTTCGGCTCAAGTATTTAGTTTCACCCACCGAGAAAAACCTCTCAGCGGGTGAAACTAGAAACTTGAGCAGAAAAAAGCAGATGCTCTCGCAAGCTAGAAATAGGAAACACAGGACAAATCAAAGGGAAAAAAAAGCAAAATTCTAAATAGGAAAGACAACATAACTTCAATTTTTTCGTATCACTCTTATAGGGTGGTTATTGAAACAGGGCCCTACTTGTAGTTAGGAAGGAAAGCTTACTGAAAGAAGGGTACTAAAATAAAAGAATCATTAAATAGTCTATGAATTTATTTCTATATTATGACAGACAAAATTAACAACCCTCCTGGTGCAATTATGAACCAAACGAGATTTAACAGGAGGATTAATAACTTACCAAACTGTTTCCTGCTATCATCAAAATATATGCAAGACAAAAATACAGGATAAGGAAATATTAGAAGGCACCGTCAACATTGATATTTATAACAATAATTTATTTATGTACAACGTCATAAGTAGGCTGAGTATGATTGTCCGCGCGAACCTGGTTATAAATAGAACTGTTTCTGACAGTGACTGACGTTTCAACAACCTGTGTGGTAGTCATCTTCAGAGTCAAAGTGAGTTGTATCATGTCTGTTGATGGTATTAAACTCTGGTTACTGACCTGATTGGTCAATTAAGTCGCGATGTTATTGATAGTCAGTCAGTTAAGCTGTGATGTTATTGGCTATGAAGACTTGTAACGTCATTGGTACATTTCAATCTGTCTATTGCCACAGTTAAACATTATCATTAATCAAATTGTCAGTTGTCCAGTCATACTCTGAGTCATAGCTAGCTTTGCTTGAGTCCATCAATAAGTCGTNAAAAAAAAGCAAAATTCTAAATAGGAAAGACAACATAACTTCAATTTTTTCGTATCACTCTTATAGGGTGGTTATTGAAACAGGGCCCTACTTGTAGTTAGGAAGGAAAGCTTACTGAAAGAAGGGTACTAAAATAAAAGAATCTTTAAATAGTCTATGAATTTATTTCTATATTATGACAGACAAAATTAACAACCGTCCTGGTGCAATTATGAACCAAACGAGATTTAACAGGAGGATTAATAACTTACCAAACTGTTTCCTGCTATCATCAAAATATATGAAAGACAAAAATACAGGATAAGGAAATATTAGAAGGCACCGTCAACATTGATATTTATAACAATTTATGTACAACGTCATAAGTAGGCTGAGTATGATTGTCCGCGCGAACCTAGTTATAAATAGAACTGTTTCTGACAGTGACTGACGTTTCAACAACCTGTGTGGTAGTCATCTTCAGAGTCAAAGTGAGTTGTATCATGTCTGTTGATGGTATTAAACTCTGGTTATTGACCTGATTGGTCAATTAAGTCGCGATGTTATTGATAGTCAGTCAGTTAAGCTGTGATGTTATTGGCTATGAAGACTTGTAACGTCATTGGTACATTTCAATCTGTCTATTGCCACAGTTAAACATTATCATTAATCAAATTGTCAGTTGTCCAGTCATACTCTGAGTCATAGCTAGCTTTGCTTGAGTCCATCAGTAAGTCGTTTGTGTGGTGCCGGAAACTGTTGCGTAAGATTCAGTGACGTTAGTAAACCTGCTTTCTAAAGTGAGTCCTTGAAAGAAGTCTGTAGAATACATTTGATAATGCATGTTGCAGAGTCCAAGTCCATTCATTGGTTTGTAAATGCAGTTGCCACTCATTAGTGTTCAGGCAGTCCCATGTTTCTGTCGGTCTCACTAAAGTAAGTGGCCTAGGAAGATGACTCCTGCACAGAGGCCCCACCAGGGTAAATTCTGACAAGCGACATGGCCCAAAAAAGTAGCGACAGCGAGTAAAATGAAATCACAACAAGAGACAACCTCCCTTGGCCAAATTACAACAGTGACAGCAAAGCCGACAATAAGCGACAAGCATTTATAAACACTGACACGAGACGTTTTAAAATTCAGACGGGTGACATGGGACCCCCCCACCCCCGGGCAGGGCCTCTGCACAGGTTGCCGAGACATCAGTCACTGTCAACAACAGTCCTATTCAGGATTACCTTCAGCCAGACGATCATACTTAACCTACTTATGAAATGACTCCTGCGTTCAAACCTTTCACAATCTAAAATGTTTTAACAAATTACAGTACAATACTTGCATTTTTTCATCCGATTGTTCAAGGATGCTGTAAACCCCATTTTTGATAGAGCGGTGAATTTCAAAACAAAGACCTACAATGGCTTCGTCAATAAGTTCACACACAATATTGGACTCTGGGCTTGGATCCTAGGTGAAGTAAAGGGAAAAAAATGTGACCCTAGTAACATTACTTGTAAGCAAAGGCATCACAAAATATTTTTTATGTGTAATGTGGTAACTGTTGTGTTTATAATGATGGTAGAATAGTGTATGTCCCTTTATGTGAGAGATGTTTCCTGATGGAACAAAAAATTTAGTCACATGTGATACGTGTAAAACATGGCTCATTAACATGTTTTGCTCATGATAATCACTTTTTTACTGATTGCAATATTTCAATATTGTTATGTACTTCTGGTCTTCATCAGGACACAGTTTTGATTGGCTGAGTAGGAACATTAGTAACAGTATGCGGTGGCCGCACACATGGCTAACCAACAACGTCACCTGATACAGACTAGGACGGTATTGTGGTTGAAACATGGGAGCCAATAACAAAGTGACCATTGAGAAAAAAATGAGGAGCAAGCCCTATTGTACCAGGAAAACTTTTCATAGATTTTTATCAAATAACTCATGCAGAATTCTGAGAGTGTCGGTTGGTGTCCTATGTCAGGGCTGTCACTAAATTTTCTCGTTGCCAGGTATGTGTAATTACTGGGTGGAGAACTGAACAGCTAGGAGGTACTTTTGGATCCCTTTTCCTTTTTTTCATAAAAAGTATGCAGGGATTATGCTTCTAGCCCGAGGGGGGGGGGTACTCCCATACATTACCTATACGGGTATGTGCCACCCAAACGGGTCGTGATTTTGAAGCTCCCGATTTAGAACGGGGTATCCATTTCAGAGGCATTTTTAGAACGGGGTATAATATTTTGAATGCACGAAAGCTCCACTTTTGTAAGCAGTCATTTGTAATTATTTAAGGACAGATTGCTTTTAAAAATACGGTTCAATGCGTTAACAAGCAAACCGCTGTACTCTTGTTGCACCCTAGAACGGAGTATAAAAAATTGGCCCATTTCTAGAACGGGGTATCAGTATTAGGGCGAATTCTAGAACGGGGTATAAAAAATTGGCCCATTTCTAGAACTGGGTATCAATTTTAGCGGAAATTTTTTTTAGAACGGGGTGCCAATTTGGAGTCCCAGGCGGCACATACCCACCCAAAAAATTCTCAAGTGCCTCCCCCCGGGGCTTCTAGTAGCTGAGGGAAAATCTCTGGTTGCTGACTCTTAGTGGCAGTCCAGTATGTGGTGTATGGGTCATTTTGAAGCAATTCCAGGGTGTTCGTACAGTTTTATTTAGAGGAAATGCTTCCTGGGAACTCCAAAAAACGTTCGATACAGAAATCCCTCATTTTGGAAAGTAATTTTTGGGCATCACTGCAGGTAGGATTATCTACTACGTTAGCTGAGGTTCAGGAGGAAAATTATTTTCCTGTTAGAAAATTTTCCATCGAGAAGGAAACATTTTTATCCCATACATGTACAAATCCGTGTAATCTCGTCATTAAAAAACTTGTACAGGTTGGGAAACCTGTTGAATAATCAAATAAAAACAGATAGGGATTAAATTTCAACCCTAAAAAATAACCTTCATCGACCGAAAAAATTCTGCTAAGAAAAATTACAAGATTTTATGGACATTGAAATATGGAAATATTACAAATGTCAAGTCTTACGTAAGATTGTATGCAAAGAAATATAAAGCAAGCTTAATATAAACTAGTATGGATATTAAGAGCATGTGTCAAAGCTTTGTTTCTCCACAAACTATCAAAATAATGATTTATGTTGAAAATGAATCGATAACTTACCTCATCTAAGTCTAAGCTATCCACTTCAGAAGGAGAGCTACTGTTATCAAGCAAACAGGACATCACTTTCGAGAGATTATTTCGAAAAAATATCAATACCAAATCACAACCTGACGTCCGCCATGATGCGAAAGAGAAATTACTAATATAACAAATAGTTTTTTTGGCTTATCTATTTTTTAAAGCGCAGAAAATTTGTGTGCATATAACAGGGCTACATTTCCTTAGCCAGGAGTTTTTTGACAGCGTCACATGTTTGAATTTTATTTTGCCGAAGACACCCAAAAGACGTCCCTTGTGTAAGCTTTCGCCGGGCTCCCGAAAAATAATTTCGAGATAGTTCGGTTAATTTCGTTGGTTCCGAATACTTCCGATTAGATAAAGGCAGCGGTATCTCCCAATTACTTACAGGAAAATGGCGGAAAGATGAACGAATCATAGCAGAAATTGATTTGAAGTACATAATGTCCAGGTTATCAGAACAACAGATTTTGGCAAGAGCTAGAGCTTCCTCCCTAGAGAATGTTAAAAATCTAAATTTTTGGTAAGTAAAATGATCTGATAAAATGAGACATGTACTCTGCAGAGTTCTTGACTTTAGACCGATGTTACAGATCGCGAGGTTTATTTTCTAGCGGTTAAAAACCTGCTTCTGTATCTTATCAGGCAGTGGATTCGAAAGGATTTATTTGCACTATTTGTCACTGTACTTTTTAATGATACGATAGGTTTTTTTTGGCATTCATCCCCATTCACTTGGACGTTATAAGGCTTTTTTACTCAATCGACACTTCAGACTTTGTTGTCATAGTTTCACTTATTTTTGATAATTATTAGTTACTTTACTTACACTGTATGGTGCTCTTTCTTAACAGGGGAAGTGATCTCAACGATGTAAGTACTGAATTTGTCTCTCTTTTTTGAAATTTGCGGTATCGCCTAATGTGAGTGATATCTACCTTGTATTAGCAATAATAATATTATTGAATAAGGCTTAGTAGAAAGTGAAGAATTATGCAGATCTAGGTGGATAACACCCTCCGAGAGATGTAGATGTCAGGTGATAATTGAGCCGGGGGTATTCCCATGCAATTAACTGTGTGGGTGTCCCTCTGAGTCTCTGCACCTGTTGCAGGCAAATAGAGATGAATATGCAACACTGTTCCAGATTAGATAATATTTATTCTGAGCGCAGTGAGTTAATAATTTTGTCGCGCGTGGGTCATAGCGGCTTGCAATCTCAGTTAGCCCATCTATACTTGTATATATCCGATGGTGTCCCCAATGTAATGATGTCATGAAGAAACTCGATCAGCATTATTTTGACTCTTTTTTTCGGCCGTTATGGCAACAAGAAATGCTTTTAGCAATTACTTTCAATTGCTTAAGTATTTTACAGAGAGCAATTAAGCAATATGGAGCAGTAGCTTCAAGTAAATAAGAGCAAAAATCAAAATTAAAGAACATTTGTGTGTTAATAGGCTGTGGGCTGGGATACCTTTGTTTCTCAAAAGTACCTTTCAGTTCGGATTTTTACTGTCAAAACTTTGCTTTTCCCTGAAAAGTATACCTTTTAATTCATTTTACACGGAGGGAAACCCACAATGAATTGTTTGTTTCGGTCTTTCCTTGCCAATTGATGTGACCGACGGTTAAAAGACTGGTTTTAGCTCCGTACCTCAATCCCCCGTTGAATCCGAGAATGAATTCAGGCTGAAATAATGCACAATGGCTTTGAAATAAGTGGTTAAACTTGTTTTCCTCAAATGCATCTTCCAATTCGTGATAAAAATAGCTTCACCAACTTTAAGCAATGTCAAAGACAGACAAATATGGTTTAAGCTTAATAATTTCACCTGTTCATTTACTGATTGGCAGCGTCGCCCAAGTGGTATAGGAGTTGTACGCTACCAGCTGGTGGTTATGTTGCAAGTTCGAATCATGGTGGCTCGAAATTTCTTTCTTTGTTGTAGATTTTTTTTCTTTTTTGTTTTGTTTTATTTTCTTTTTATCATTTTTTTCCCTTTTCCTTTCTTCCTTTATTCTTACTGTTGACCATCCATAGTTTCAAGAGGTTTTTGCAATAACGTATTCCTAGTATGAATAGGAACCTTGTTCCTGTGACTGGCTCAGTGATAAAATGACCTCACCTAAGCTTGATTGAGAGTCAGAATGAAGTGAAATATACCCCTCTCCAAGAAATATATATTTTTTTGCTTTGTTCTAGAGTAGGTGAGGCAAAAACCCTTTTGAGTGGCACATACCTGTTTAGTCCATGGATATATCACTCCCATATATGGGAGAACCCTCCCCCCCCCCCACCGGGATTTTGAGCATGATATGCGTGATACATGTATGTATGATATGCTAAACTTTCTGTGAACTATGTTATGAACTGTTAACTGTGTTATGTTTTGAAAACAATGAGCTGAACTTATAGCTAATATGTTTTACAGATCTCAGTTCTACGACAAATGCCAAATGTTGAAGTCCTTAGCCTCAGGTTAGATATTATTTAGTTTATTTCAATGTAATTCATCACCACGTATGACTGGACACATTAAAGCTCCACTTAACTGAAGTCATTGTATTAAGATGCTCCTCTTTTGTTTTATTTTGCAGTGTAAACAGCATTACCAGTTTGAAGGACTTTGCACATTGTACCAGTCAGAATTTTAAACCATGATATAGTTGGGAGACTTGCAAAATACTCATCTGTGCACATAAGATCGTTAGCTACATACTCTAAACTTTAAAAATCGCACATAAAATTCACCAAAGGGCCAGGTTTCATTTGTTATCCACTAAACTTTGTCATATCCAGCAACAAAATGTAGGACTTTTTCGGGAGGGAGGTGATACCAGCAATGGACCTGAAAGTTGAAATTTGGTGGATGCCAAACTGCTGGGACTTGGAACATCATGTTTGAATTGTGTACTTATTTGACAGGGTGCCTATAAATGTTTACAGCAATTTTTATGTGTGTTTACTTCACATGCATGTGTATTATGTTCCATGGAAAATTGCGCTATATAGGTTTCAATTATTAATTATTGTAACTGTATATTGATGGATTGCTCCTTTCTATTACATTACAACACCAGAAATACTTTTTCCCTGTTTAAATTTCCTCATGTCTTTCTAATATAAAGAGGCTCTGGATTTTATTTCTTTTGCAAGGTATGACCCTTATGACAGCTCTGCTTTTGTAAAGACTTAGTGACAAACTGGAAACTTACTAAAAATATTTTAAAAAAATGTTTATTAAATAAAACACTAAGAATGATTTTAATGATAGAAAAAATGACAAGGACATGTTTGTTGTTGTTTTTTGGTTTCTCTTTTGGTCTTGCATAAACAGGTCCTAGGTTAAGAGAACTCTATCTAAGGAGAAACAGCATTGGGGACATTGATGAAATTGGATTTCTAAAGAACCTTCCAAAACTGAGAGTACTGTGGCTGTCCGATAATCCTTGTGCTAATATAGAGAATTATAGAATGACGGTACTGAGGAATTTACCCAAACTTACAAAGTTGGATACTGTAGGTAAGTTATAACTGATAATTATACCAAATTGTGTGAGAAATGGAAAGGCCACCATGTGAAAAAAAAAATGAACATAATTTTCATAGTTATGTTACTTTTTTGTTTTATAGCATATCTGGAATTAGTAAAATCCAACTAGTGGTCTATTATCAATGCTGCGTTCTGATTGGTTGAGCTACTGCTAGGCTATATGTTATAGCCCCCTAGTAGCGAAAAGCACAGGCTTTTTGGTGGCAAAAAAGGATTAAAGTCTAGCTTTAACTAGCTAAAAGTTTTTTATTCTCGATATTTTTGACCAACTAGTTGGATTTTACTAAAACAATTATTCCTCTCGCCCTCATGTCCTCTGAGTCAATAGCCCATTTGGCCTTCGGCCTCATGGGCTATTGACTCGGAGCCTATTCGGGCTCGAGGAATATTGTTAAATAGATTTTTTTCTTAGAGGGATGCCCATCTTGAATCAAACTTCCAGTTATTTACTTATTGCTTCATGCTGTCGTAATTTATTTTAATCTAATCTTGACCAGTCCAATTCCTCACATAACAGATGTGAAGAGAATGCTTTGAAATTATTAATACAGTGGAACCCATGATCTGGGTGTCTATATATAGCGGGTTCCCTAAAAAAATGTCACAAACACACAATTTATTGATATTAGAACTGAAACAGACAAACAGAAGGATAGGGCCAAAGACTGTAGCATGAAGCCAAGGGAGCCAAACTTGTTTATTTGGAGGCAGAAAACTTTGTCAAAAGCTTCAGTACAAGGGTCAAACACAGAAAGAAAGAAGGACATTATGTCACTCTATTTTGCTACTGTTTTTTGAGTAGTAAAATCGTAGTAACTCAAAGAAACCTTTCATCATGTCTGCAATAAAATATTAGCACATGATTATAATGACATGTGAAAATAGACAATGCACAGGTAATCTTTGTCCATAAATATGGTTGACTATAATCTGAGAATCTGACTCAGGATACAGAAAGTGTTGTCCTTATTAAGTGGGTTAATTTTGGGGAGAATATATGAGCTTTCTAAAGTAGGTTGAGTTTGATCCTCCGGGTGAACGTAGTCCTGAATAGGACTGTTGTTGTTGTTGACAGTGAGCTTTCTGTTGGGACAAACAAAACTGTCTGTTATATACTGGTGTCCACATTAACTGGGTGTCCATATAGTGGGGTTCCACTGTATATGATATTTCGCACCACCTCGGTCAGTTCATTGTTTTGAGTGGCTGTTATTCAAATTTGCTATGTACATGTACAGTGACTCGCCACGGTGACTCAACACGGTGACAGGGGATGAAACAGGACTTATGTCCCAACTGATATCAACCCCTCCATAAAAAAAAAAATCAGAGCAGTGGAAGAGCTGTAGGGTTGGACCTACAGTTTTTGTTTTTATCTGAGAAGACTAGAATGTCTAACCATTTGTAGATGTCACAACAAAGGCAGCACGTTCTCCTCAGTTATTTTAAGACCCTGAGTGTTGGTCCGGCCTGGGTTTGAATGCTTACCCAATTGAGCTAACCAGGTGACAGTTTGGAATGCAACACGTCTAGAAACATTTATGCAAGTATACAACTTCAACTTCACTGTAATTCTCTTTTAATTATTGCATTTGTTTCACTGACTGCATCATTTTTAATTCAAACAATGATACCAATTGCTCATTATTTTATTAATTCTTATAAACTTTTCCTTATTGATAATGAAAAGATATGACAAGAGAAAATTGATTTTGGTCACTCTTGGCATTCAAGGCTTAAACAGCTCGAAAATTTGTTTTCTTTGATTTTTATTTATAGTTGTTGAAGAGGCAGAAGTTCTTGAGGCATCAAAACAGGGACAGGAGATCCCCACCCCTGAAGACATCCCATTTTACCATGACTTTACTGCCACAGCAGATAAGGTAAATTAAATTGGATTTGTGATATGTCATAATTCCATCACAGGTTATCCCTGCTTGTGGACAATAATTATTGTTTCTTTTTGATTTGTTATGTCTGCTATATATTCTATACTAAAGAAGGGTGGCCAAAGGCTGGGACTTTGCCTTTTTATTGGAAATGCAAGTCTTAGACATTGGAACATGTAGGGATGTTGCTACAAGCTGGTTGCTGGCTAATTTCATAATGGTATCTGTTTTTGCTTTTTAGAATACTCTTAAAATTGATGTTGCAAGAGATGACAGTCCACAGATTTTTACAGGTGAAGACCTTAATAATACTTGCAAATTTCCCTAAACGACTTGATTGGTGATTAAGTTGCAGTTATTTGTAGAAATGTAAATACATGCAAATAAAGTACCGTATTTCATTTCGTAATGAAAAGATAAAGAAGGTGGAAGTTTGGCAGTTTTTTGAAACTCCAAGGGTTGTATTCAGGCAAGAAAATGATTGAGAATTGTCTTCATCTGGATTGAAGGAATATGGTCATAATAACAAAGATGGTTGTGAAGGTGACTACCCCACAGCTTTTATAAACATCAGTCCCTGTCAACAACAGTCCTATCCATTCAAAACTACATTCACCATGACGACCACATTCCACCTCCATATGAAATGACTCCTGGGTACAAACCTTTCACTCTGTCCCCAAAACATGGCTCTATAAACATGGTGGTCATGAGGCCACCATCTGTAAATAAGTAAATAGTTAGTTGTAACTGTATTGTTTTCTCTTTTTTTGTTATCTATGTTATTTGACTTATTTCATTGTTATTGACAGAAAATGATAAATCTGAGCCATCACATGACAATTTAGTAAATGAAACCAAGTAAGTCTACCCTTACAGTCAGTGCATGTTTCACTGGTATTTTTCCTACGTAGAAAAATTCTGCTCATCAATGTGGTACACATCTTTCATGATCCTTGTACAATAATGGGATGGGTCAGCCATTTTACAGAGAAGTACAGCAAAACAAAGGACTGACCTGGTAAAATAAAAAGTTTGAATAAGCGATGATATTATAATAGCTTGTTTAACTGTTGGTGTTGTTTTCTGAGAGCACAAATTGGCAGCAAATTAAAGCTGTGAGAGGTTAGATGGAAAGTGGGCAAATGAGAAGTGAAGCTGCCAAAATGCACGCTATTAGCGCATGTAAATTAAAGACAAAAAAAGAAAAACGTTGTTTCCATCCTATTCTCCTAAGGGGTTAGCTGTAGGTATCAAAAAAACAGCAAATTAAAATCACGAGAAGTACTCTTGTTTATCGCTCTTTTTTGTTCACAGTAAACTTCGAGCTCAGTTAGGACTCAAACCACTTTTATTGGACGATCATGCCAATACTACTGCAGCCATGACAACAACAAGTGCTGAGAAGAAAACTTCTGGAAATTCCAGCGACTCTCAAGTGAGTTTTTTTACTTTTGTAAGTAAGGCTTATCTCAAACATCGTGCTGCAGTTGTGCTGAACTACTTCAATAATTGATCAAATCCAACATAACAAATTAGCAGCCAAACTCATTTCATATATATTTATGAGTGCAAATATTTTATAAGTAGAAGACATGTTCAAAAGTTGATGAAACTGTTATTATTATTATTATTATTATTATTATTATTATTATTATTAAATTGAAGCCAAGTCATGCTACATCAAGCCAGGCTAGCACAGTAGTAGCACAATATTTTAAATGAACCACACCTGAGCTTTTATTAACAAAAATTCGTTTTTCTCTTTCTTTTCAGAATCAAAATATTGTGTCTGCCGTTCGTATCTTGGTTCAAGATCTGGATGAAACAAGCCTTCTAACTCTTCGAAATGAAATTGACCAGCGGCTGCAAAGTCTAAATAAAACATACAGTGAATCTAAGAACAGTCATGAGCAGTTGGAGGAGAAAGAATTAATCACTGATTGAATAACTCATAAGCATTACCTTAACGACAATGTAGCTAGTATTTAATGCTTATTTCAGAGCTAATATGATATCAGTCAGTTAAAAAGGGTTGCACTTCACAAATGCCACTCTTGGGTAAGCCTTTCTGATTTCTTAAGCGACTATTGTGACACTGCTGTGAACTGTCTGTAATGCAGACACCAAATTGGATAGAGCCAAGTGTCTACATTACAGAGTCATCTGTATTATAGTCAAACCTCCTTAATATGGACACTAAAGAAACAGAATCAAGTGTCTGCTTTACTGAGGTATCTGTATTATAGTCAACGACATCTCATAGATACCAACTAGACAGAGCCCAAAGTGTCCAGTAAATTACAGGGGGTCATCTGTATTATAGTCAAACCTCCTGAATACAGGAATAAGGGCTTTTCTCCAGGTATCCCTTAAACTACATTCTGGGCATATGATTACGTAAATCTTTAATTCTTTTAAATCAAAACATAAATCCTCCTTTCCCGTTCCTTTTCTTTCTTAGAGCCCTGACTTAAGCCCTAAGGTATTAAAGGAAGCTATCTTGAGTGAACTTGTCTTGTATTCCCATTGTATGTTGTAGTACTTTAACGTTTTAACCTATTTTTGGAACTCAAAGCGGCAAGGCTCTGTTCGAGGGGTTAACAAGCTCAAGGAACTTAAAAACACTGCTTCTGGACCTTTCTTAAACCAAAGACGCAGTGTTTTTCTTTGACGTGCAAATTTTGGGAGAACAGACCTATTTTTGAAGCCAGGGGTATAAACGACATCCATATAATACGGGAATTGAAACACTCTTTTTGGCTTTAAATGACACTCATAAAGAAAAAGTCTTTTTTCCAATTTTAACTTTTCCAGGTGACAAACAGCAATTATCATTCACAATCATTCACAGCAAAACTTTTTAAAATTTTAAATATATTAACATGCCGATCGGCGTGCTCCTAGAAATATAGAAGCAAGAGGCATACAAAGAATGAACCATCAAACTGAAAGAGAGTTTGACACTTTTTAAGGAGTTGTCTGTTTTTCACAAACTACAATCCATAAAATGTCTAGGAATATGCTCTACCATCAGATACGAATTGTAATCGTATTTCCAGTCATTTCAGAGACCTAACGGCTCGAGAAATTAAGGGCGGGATCACTACAAATCCAAGTGGCTTATGCGTACCAGGGGTTCTACACGCTACATGATTGTGATAAAACAAAAAAAACAAACAAACAAACAACAACAAAAAACAAAGACAAAGGGGGCAAGACGGTGACGGTTACTGAACTTCTAAATAAATGTACTCTATTGAGCAAATAACTTCTTCCAGAAATGTCGTGTAAAAATAAAGTTTTATCAAAGTCATACCGCATGAAATTGGAGGATCGACTGAAAACCACTATCTTTATACGTTTCTGGGAAACTCCCCACCTACCCCTCCCCTAAGCCAACATTAACACGTGTCTGACTTAGGGTAAAATTTTGGCTTAGGGGAAGGGTAGGTGGACAGTTCCATACTCCCCATAATGCACCTTATTTTATTTGCTCCCCCCGCCAAATTTTGCATAAGCATTGTTTTCGATTTCTCTTGAAACGGCTGTAATACCCAGAAGAAATGAAAAACAAAGGTTATGAAAAATTTTGGAGGGCAAATAAGGTGTATTATGACCGGATCATTATACCGTTTCTAAGAAACTGCCCACCTAACCCTCCCCTTTTAGGGCGTATTTGTTGGTTCGCTTTTGTGTTGTGGTGTGGGTTTGTGGCTATTCTTCAATATCTTTTTAATCTTTTGTATTACGTCATTTGATGATTGCACCCGTCCGCAATACCCAGAAACCTTTAAGGGCGTGTTCGACCAGTTTACAGTATCCCGGAATAAGAATGAAGCTACGTGCAAACACGCTTAAAAACTCCCAACATTGTTGGGCCAACAATGTTAGGAGTTGTTGCGTCCGTTCCCAACAACACGCAACAACATGCAACCGACAGGGTGTGCAAACGGACGCAACATCATTGTACAGTGTAACATCCAACAATGTTGGAAGTTCAGTGTTGGCCCACTATATTGCGTCCCTTTGCACAGGGCTTAAGGAAATAAACTGTAGAAATCATTTGGTTTGGTATTCAATGCATTATTTTCAATGTCTAAAAGTCTACTTGAAACAAACTATTGCGATGTACGGCAGGGTTCAAATGGTCCGAAAAATCATTTGCGGCAACATGTTTGCGTGCATATTTGGCCCGAGTGGTCAGTGCCTCAGTCTGTGTCACAGACAGTCTAAATCCCCGATCCGAGTTCCCTAAATAGAAACTGTATGGAGTTCTCTATCCGGGTTCTCCATCTAGGTCTCGAGTGACAAATCCGGCTGCAACGCAGGCCATTAGCGCCTGGGACTAAACTGAAATGTTCCAGTTAGGCCCCTTCTATATGTTGTATATGTTAAAGGTCAAATTTGATTTCAGGTTGATTTTGATTTAACCTAGGTTGATTCTCAATTTCCTTTGTTTCTTAGCTCTAGTTCATGAATAATTAGGGCTAAGAGACAAGGGAAATTGAGAATCAACCTAGGTTAAAAAAATTTAACCTGAAATCAAATTTGACCAGTAACATATATAAGAACGTGTTTAGCCTTAAATTTGAAAGAGGTTGTTATACACTTGCTTGTGCACATAAGATAAGTCAAAATTCAAAAAAGAGGATCTTGCAAGATCCTTCTTTGGAGACATAGGTGCTACCATCTGCAATGTAAATGCCAATGTTGAAAATCAAACATGTACACTTAGAAAGATGAATAACTGTTTTTTTTTGGGGGGGGGGGGG